TATATAAACAATTTTGTTTAAAAGAAAGTCCTGCCTTTGCAACAGATTTCAAAGCCAGGACCTGCGTCTTTCTAATAAAAAAAAAAAAAAAAAAAAAATTGCATAGTAGAGAGGCTTATGCTTGATCTTTTGACGTGAACCTGCCATTAAAGGTTTTTGCTGTTCATTGGGAAGCAGAGCTGCTCCTGGGGTATTTCCTGTTCATCAGTCCAAGGGAGGAGGCATTTTGGTAAATACTAGCTAGCTTGTTTCCAGTAGCCAATTCTCTATTTGGAAAATATTACTTTACACAAGAACTCTTATGCCAGAAAAAAATCTACCAAACGCATCCCTGGTCACCAAGGCTAATGTCATACCTTTCTAGATGTGTTTATAGGCCCTTTTAGGGTAGCTGAACTGGCTTCTTTGTGCTCGATTAATTTTTGTTGAATCAAACCTTGCTTGCGCCTAACTATTCTTATTAACAGCTTCCAAGCAGCAACCTGCTTGGAACAAGCAATCTATTTGTCCAGACCTGGTGTTGTATCATAACAGGGAAAAGCGAGGAGTACAATTTGGGCTAGCGTGTAGAGAACGAGAAACAGAGGAAAAAGTGGCAAACTGTAGATAATGTTTATTCATAGGTAATCATAAATTAAGGCATGATCACTTAAATATAACGAGCAGCATGCTACTTACTTAGTGGAGTGAACAGGAAAAGAATTTCTGAAATATTTGGTAGAAATTCTGCAGCTGACTTCAGTTGCAGCAGGATTTTAACCCTGATTTCAGATCCATGCTGCTTTCAGATGACATGGACCTTGTGAAGATTAGAGATGAGGTGAAATCAGCCTCTTAAATTTAGCTCTCACGGTTTCCTCGTGACTTAACACTTGCGTCAAGGATAGATAGTCTAAGCAGATGTTTGCAAAACCTGTCTTTCTCTTAACAAGTGCAGAGGGCTTTGTGTGTTTATCAGTTCTGTCCATCTTCTGTGAAGCATCAGCCTTTTTGTAGTTTGTATACTAGCTGCGAAGAGGTAGCAAAATAGCAGCATATATGTATGCTGGAGTTTTCTTTCCCCCCAGAAAACTGAACAAATGTCTGAAAGAGGAAGATCTGAGCCAAATAGGACAAAAGGAGGAGTTGGGGAAATCTGCTTAATGCCTGGCAAACAGTGTGAGTGAGGAGATTCCAGACAAGGTAGTCAAAAAGAGAGAGCATGTGCGAGGGGAGAGGATGTAGCTGAGCGGTGTCCAATTTCAGGTGCTTGGTTCCCATCACAAATACCTGTCCTTACAGAGCTCATCGCTGAGGAATTGGTGGAGAGGAGGGAAGCTGTGATTAGAGGCATGCTTCAGCTTGTGTACCTCTCTCCTCAGTAAATTAGCTTTCTGTTCCTATTCCCAATCATTGGTAAAACAAGTTATGTGTAAGATGAACTATTTTTGAACTTACAGGATTGTGAAACCTCAGGTGGACTTTCTTCCTCCACCTCTTTCCACTTGCTTCAAGAGACATTTGTGTGCTCTTAGAGGTAAGGGTTATTTTGCCCGCTCCGTTTTGAAAGCATCGTATACCTTTTGGACCTAAACTTAAGTGTGAAAAATATATTTGGGAGCTGTCAAAATGGACCTCAGTAAAAAGGCAAACAAGGCATTAATGGTGCATGAATTAACTGTAAACAAATAAAGAATATGTACAAAAAAGCAAAAGCTACTATAAAAAGTGGTACGGGTGTGTAATTGGGAAGCAGAGAGAGACACAAGGCCAAAAGGTTTTCTCCTTTTTTCAGACTTTTCTGTAAACGTCTACTGTGTAGTCCTAGAAACTACATTTATTCTAGATTATTTTTGATTTATTACAGGTCAGCTTTGTTTAGAAATTACAATGTGACAGAAGGATTTCAGTGCACAGGTCATATGTTTCCAAAGTCTCTGGGTATTTCATGTTTAGTGACTGACAGGTCTCTGAAAGTATACCAACAAATGAGCCACTAATGATTTTGGGGCACACGGTCCTGTGAGTCCTGCACATTAGTCTGTGCTCTCATCAGAAAGGTAATACAAACAGCAGCCTGCTGTTATTGTTTTGCTCTATTAAAACTATTTGCCCTTAAAAAAAAAAAAGTATAAAAATGAATGGCAGTATTTCTCCTGAACTCCAGCTGTTTCAAAAAAACTGTTCAGATCATTTACTGCTTTAGTGAATGTTATTTTCAAAACTGGGAGTGTCAGCAAAATATTTCATTATTAAATAGTGCCCCCTTTTTTTTTTTTTCCCTTTTAAAAAGGAAGACGGACGTTAGGAAAACAGATGACCAAAACTGATCTGCACGGAATGCAAAGTTGTTCGTTATGTCTGCTGACGGCGGGGGAAAATGCACTTGCTGGCTTGCTAAATTGAAATAATGGTTTGGATGTTGACAGACAGAAAAACAATTAGAGCTATCGGATTCTTTGCTGACGTGTGTGTTGTCGCATGGAGAGAGGGCTTGTTTTGTGCCAGTAAATCTGAACTGTTCAACTCTCAGCAAGATATCAAGTTAATTAATAAAGTTCCTTACAGTTGGGCTTGGAACGTGAGGTCTGTTTATTTGTGAAGACAACCTTTCCAGGGATAAACACAAGTGACTGATGGGGCCTTTTCTGTGTTTTCTCAATCACTGTTATATTACAGGCTAACAAAAGACCACCTTCTGCTTGGTTTATTGTCACATTAAAGTGGTCTTACCTGACTGAACAGTTTCTGTATTCGTACCCTGTTAATATTTGTGGATAGTAGGGTGTTTGTTTTGTTTTTTGAAGTGTGTAACTTTGTGGGAAATGTTTACTTAAAATATTGATCTCTCTGGATTTTTCAGGTGCTTACTAATGTCTCGCTAATTCTGTACATGCTGGTATTCTTAAAAGCTACCACTTTTTTGGTGGATTAGTGCTACAAGTATATTCTTGAAATCTGGTTTTAGGAGTACATTTGGGTTTGAATATTTGTTTCTTTTGTTTTCTGAGTGGGTGCTTCTCGGCAGGGGTTTCTGAGCGTATGCTGGACTTCACAGCAGAATTGCATAGTGCTTCTCTGTTAAAGCTTGTCCTGTCAGTTTGGGTGATGGCTCTGGCTCTAACAGTGTTTGAGATGTGTTGTTGCTGACTGTCGCAACCATTCTGACGAGGATCAGTGTGTCCTCTGAACGATGTGTTGATGTTTGCTAGTTGTCAGACTAAGTATTGGGTTGCAGAAGGGGTATAATCTTTCTGTTGCAGCTCTAGGGCTGGACTAATGCCTCTCTTTAATACAGAAAGAAATGTTTGCTTCATAAGGAGAAAGCAGTAACATATAATAACATATTGTAAAACATGAACTATATTAAGTATTTACTTCCCAAGTTTCCCCTGCTTCCAAGTGCAGTTCTGTTAAATCCATCAGCATGATCAGATTCTTTTGTGTGTGTGTGTAACTCAAGCCTGCTTGCCTTTACTAATCTTCTTTAAAAACTTTCAGATTTTTTTCTCTGTTCCTGTTTTGTCTGTTTTCCTGGTACTTAACTTTTAAAAAATATTTTCTGCAGTTTTATCATTGTATCCATGGGGCATTTCCTGAATACATGAACTTCTTTCAATGTATTATGGTTCGTTTTCTTCTATCTGCTTGAAAACTTAACTATCTTGTAAGCTTTTCAAAAGTCAAGAAAAAATAATCACTAGTTTTTTTTGTTTCTAAGTAGACAATGCTTCCTTGGTGGTGGTGTTTTGAAATTTTTGAAATCAGCGTCTGGAGCTCCAGCTGGAGTTGCAACTAGATATTAACTTCTGTGGGACATGATCCAGGAGGATCTGTATATGCAGAAGAAAAGCACTTCCTAGTAAAGCTGAGCCTGTAGCAAACCCACTTGTGCTCAGATATGCGGTTAACTCAAAACTTAACACTTGACAAACCTTAAGCAACTTGACTGTTGGTAACAAGGCAGTGGAGGACAAATGGCTGATTGTGAAGTCCTAACCTAGCTTCCCAGATTTGTAACTCTCTTCTTCCTGTTCTTTAAACTTTTGCTGGTATGTGAATGAGTGCAGAAAAAGATTTTGAGTCAGAGCTTTTTGTTTCAAAAAAGCAGAGCTCTGAAAATATAAATACAGACACACGCAAACGCTTTTTTTTAGTACTTAAGTTTTTTAAATGAGATTGGGAGCTAATAAACCACATCGGATGATGCAACTCTAGCATTATTTCAGTAAAGTAGAGCCATGTTAATAAACAAAAACTGTGTAGACTAAGTGGTGTAGTTTGTTTGTTTGTTTGTTTTTTTAATATGGCAGTGTGCATGGAAAAAACAAGGATACTAATTTAGGCAAAGTCTCTTTATTTACAGAACTGGCGCAGTGTGGGCAGGGGCTGAAGCACCTCAGCAGCACTTTCACCAATGTACCGCCTTCCTCTAGAGAAAGACGGTAGCAATCTCTGCCTGCTTGATTTCCTTTCAGGGCTTTCCAGAAGTGATACTAAATGTATAGGTTTGCCTATACTAGGAACCCTCAACTGGTTTTGTATGGAGAACAAGGTTCGACTCCAGGATGGCTGTACTTAAGAATGTCTCCCCCTTATTTTGCCACACCATCACCTGCCACCACCACTAGGGATTATTGGACAAACATTGAAAGTTTTTATAATCAGTCCCATGAGACATTCAGGCAACATATAAAGGAAAGGGGGCACTTCTTACTGGAACTGTTATGGTTTTATTCTGGACTTGTTTACTTACCGCTGTTTCTTTTAATTCTTTGTAATCACTTTTTATATTTTAGGAAATAAAGTTAGTGAAACTTCTGGTATATCTAAAAGAACAGAATGGGTAGCTATGGCCAAAGCATGGGGCTTTTGGATTCCTGCTACTAGTTTTAAGGAAATGAGGCCGTGCCTTTTCTTTCCATTAGAGGTTCAGTTAAATTTGTTTCCTTTAAATTTGATAATTTTTTTTTAAATTGGAAATGCCTCACAGTAAACATCAGGACTTTTCTCTCTTCTAGCTGCTGAGTCTGCTGCATTGTCTCTGGTACGGCTACAAGTATGACTTGACTGACTTGCATTCATGGCTCTTGGATGATCTGGTGAACCATGGAGCTCAAAGTATGGGTGGATGGAGTCCAGAGAATTGTTTGTGGGGTCACTGAAGTCACAACGTGCCAGGAGGTGGTTATAGCTCTTGCTCAGGCTATTGGTAAGTAACTCTCACTTGGATTCCTGGGAATGAGCTGAAGCCTTTTTTAATGAAGCTAAACTAAGGGAAGGTGGAGTTGCGCTCGAATATTAGAACATGAATGTGTAAAACATAGTGGGATAACCTTGCAGTCTCTTAGAAGGCAATGTAAACTTGCAACTTTTTTTTTCCTTAAACCTACTGCAGATAAGAAGAAAAATCACTTTGAAATCTGTAGCCTGCCATTCAGTACAAGTTTATGCTCTAAATAACAATACGCTGCTGTTTGTCATTGCAAGTGCAGCCTGGACTGCAGACAGTGCTAAGCTATCAATGTTTTGAGTAGCAAGGCAATATTAAAGCAGTGCAAAACAACTGGTTAGCTTGTACGAGTTAGTGACATTAACTGAAATTATACACGCTGTTAGTATCCCTAACTGTGTTGGGAAGAGTATAGATCAACAAAATACGTCCTTCAGGTTCTCCTCTTACTCTTACACATCACCTGACTTAGTAAATAAAAGGGTATCTTAGTCTATACAGTGTTAACTGTTTGCTGAACAGTTTATGCAGATACAGAAATATCTTTCAGGCTCCAGTACAAGAAAGTACATTCCTTCAGTCTTGTCAGATCTTCCACAGTGGTTAATGGCATCCCTTCAGTGTTTCCTATGCTGGATGTTATTTTCTGCTAACATTTTGTAATTAGGTTTACATACCATTTCAATTTAGATACTAGAACTACATCTTATCTAAAACTAAATCTGAAGTTTAAGGGCTAGCTTTCACATTTTCCACTATTTCAAAGACTTTGCAAGATTGTATTAGTGCGCTCCTACTCAGTAGCAAAATAATCATTTATTTTTATAACTAAAAAACAACTTAAAGCCATAAATGTCAACTAGCTATTCAACTGTAAGCATGGTCAATTTGTCTGAATTTCTGTATGTTTGTTTAGTGAAAAATATGCTTTTGAACATTGTTTTCATCTACTTTCAGTAGAAAAAGAAGTAGAAGAAGCACTAGAAATCTTATGCTTTTTTTTACTTTATATCTTAAGGGGATTGAACACAATGCTAATGTGTATGCTCTATCTGTATGCATCAAGTACCTTTAAAATGTCCTTCAGAAAGCGTAGAAAGTCAGTGTAGATTCAATAGTTAACTGTTAAGTGTGCTTCTACTGTTCATGTTAGCAGCAGCTTTTTATTTAATGCTGATTGGCTATGAATTGCTTCCATCCAAATCTCATTTTCTGCCTGTAGGCTTTTTAGACACTATTATGCCAGTGTGATCATTTGCTAGTGGTGATTAAGAAGTGTTATGTATAACTCTTTCTTTTTTTTTTTTTTTTGGTGGTAGACTTCTCTGTTCTTTACCTCCCTTCTGTTATCTCTCCCATCCCGTTTCCTTTGCCTCCTCTCCCAAAATCAAAACGTCCAACTCCCACTTCTAGACGATACTCCCATGTTCTCCCATGTTATTTTCCTTCCTTGTTTTTTTTCAGTTATTAGACCAAGATCTGAAAAGACTCAATCAGTCAAAATTAAGCCAAATTAAAATAATCCAAGGAGATAATGAACCTTTGGATGCTCTCTTTTGAGGCAAATATCTTCACTAGAAAACATTTAGAATAATTGATCCCTAGTTTCTCACTGGAGCTGCTAGGACAATAATAAATACCGGTATTAATGACGCTTGTCTTTAGCAAAGAGGTCTCTTCCAACCCTTTTGTCAGGCCATTCATCAGAAAAGCTACCATATGTCTGCTCCTTTGATTTGGCCATATGTACCGGCTTACCAGGAATTATTGTCACTTGAATTTGAATGGGAAGCTATTAAAATGTATTCTTTTAGCTCTCACCTGACATTTGGTGGTGGAAAGCAGCCAGTCTTTGTTGGCTTCCTCCTTGGTTGGCTGTGATTTTTATATTTTCCACTGTGCAGTCTGGCTCCTTCAGAAGTCTGTCTGCTGGCTTGTCTGCAAAGTTCTTCAGATGCTCTTTTTGTTTTCTCATGTGTGACAACATATTGCTAGGTCCTTGATTTAAAAATAACGGTAGAAATGCACAGCCTTCTTCACTGAAAAACCTGAAATACAGACTGCAACAGGTATGTTATTCATGTTGAAATGCAGCATCAGGCATATCTGCAAATTAACTGATGTTACTGCCATATCCACTGAAGAAAGTAAAAGTACTTGTCAGTTCCCTTTTAAGACACCTATAGTTCAAGAAGCTTCACATGGACAAACAGAAGCTGCCCCTATCCTAGAGGTATGAAAAATAAAGCTTTACAATGTATTTCAAAAATGCGAAAATCAATCTGGCGTAGATCCACAGAACGGCTGAGGTTGGAAGGGGCCTCTGGAGATTGTCTAGTCCCATCCCCCATGTTCAAGCAGGGCCACCTAGAGCAGGTTGCCCAAGACCCCATGACCTGTCGGGTTTTGAATATCTCCAAGGGTGGAGAATCCACATCCTCTCTGGGCAACCTGTTCCAGTGTTCAACCACCCACATGGTAAGAAAGGTTTTTCTTTTTTTCTTGTTTTCCCTTAGGTTTAAATGGAATTTTTTGTATTGTCAGAAATCTCCTTTCCTGTCACTTGATCAAATGCAGGGCCCTGTCTCCTGATCTCCCACTGTGATAAGGGCAGTGAAAAGGTGTCCATCTCGTTTGGTTCCCATCCTTCCCCTCATGTCACGGGAAGTCGGTAACAACATAATACTTTTTATGTTTTGAAGAAAGCTTTTTGGGATGCAAAGATAGGGACTTTTATTCTAGGGCTATTTTAGTCAGAAATAGGAAGTTATATCAGATTCTGTACCATAACCAAAGTGCAGCCTAATTCTTTGGCAGTTAAGAGGAGTTCTGTCACTTAACTTGCCTATGCAGTGCTCCCTGACCTATTTCTTACGAATTGGTGTCTGTTGCTGTTACTCTTTCAGTGGAAATGCCTGTCCCCTTTTTTTCCTCCCCTCTGTCCTTTAAGGCTGTACTCCTGATGGCTATCATCTGTGGTATCTGTTCTTGCATTATAGCCTCATTTCACCATTGCCTTATCTTTTCATCATTTAGAAATAGCAAATGATTCTCCTCCAAGTTTCTGTGCAAATTAGTTGTTAATTTCTATTTTGCTTGAAGCTAAAGGGTTTGAGTTGAATTTCAATCCTCATTCTTAACAAAAAAAAAAAAAAAGATGATCTCAGCAAAGCTAATTTCTAAAAATTCTTGTATATATTTTAATGAATGAGGGGGGGGGAAATACTAGCAAATAGATGTAATTTTGCAATGAGCGGATGCTATAATTGATAGTGTCTCTAAGTTGGAAGGAGTTAGAAATGCCTTAGCTGGAGGGAGGGTCTCTGGAATTCTGTTAAATTAAGACATAAAACTATCAAGCTGCAAATTTCCGGAGAGTGAAATCGCCTCCCACTGGGTTCTTGAAGAACACTTAATATTACCTTTTATGAGTTTTATCCAGTACTGTTTTTTTTTCTTTTTTTTCTTTTTTTTAAACTCAAGCTGTTTGCAAATTACAAAGTACCTGGAAGATTTGGCCTTATAATGCAAGTCAGAGAAATGATCTTTTCATGATGAGAAACTAAGCTCTCGCCAAATGTAAAAAATAAACCACAGCACACAGCTTAAATGGAGAACCATGAATCCTTTTTTAAAAATACGTTTGCCAGGAGAGATGAGCTAGCTTTTTAACACATTCATCATTGTCTACTTTAAAAATATATATTTGACAGCAAATTCTGCATGTGTTTCTGCTTCTGCTAGCTTTCCCATGCATTCTGTGAAAACTGTGCTAGAACAGCTTCTTGCAAAGCTTGCTTGCTCATTTTGATTCCTCCTCTTAAACTAGGTAACTGAAAAACAAGTGAAAATTGATGTTTTTCACCTGTTGTATGTATTATGAGATGGTAAGCAAATCAGATCGGGGATCTGTTTTGCAAAGTAATACTTAGAGTCCACAGAGCATGAAGGTTCCCTTCAGTATTGGGAAGAAACAGGTGCTATCCTAAAGAACGTGTGCTAATTGTGTTAGCTGACAGATCAGGCAAATATGGCTGTGTACAAGATTTTATCTTTTAATTTTTATGTTGTTTTTTAGTGACTGTGACTTTTGCTAGATATTTTCCGTTCAATTCTGGAAGAAAAATCCTCCAGAGAAATATGACGATTAACACAAACAAATACACTGGTCCTGTTTCTTCAGAAGTGATTTTTCTCCCAGTTCTACCCCCGTGAGGACTTCATGCTGCATTTCTTGGGATTTCATTCCTCTCTGGGGACTAGAGTGGATCGTCTGTAGCCAGAATGACAATGTGTGCATTTTCCAAGAGAGGGTATTCTTTTAGTCCACAGAAATTAAGCTTGAATTTCTCAGCAAGTCCGTTTTTGTTTTTTGCCCTCATCATAATTTCTAATGGCAAATGATTAAAACAGCGGAATTGCTTTAAATAGTGCTGTGGATTCGGGCTGTCTGGCTATAGCACCATATCAGGAGAATATGGACTTGCTGACCAAGAAGTACAGCTGTCCCTTTTTAAAATTAAGCAAACGTAGCCATCAGTTCTTTATTGCTGCTGAGTATTTTTCCTCTTAGATAAATAGGTAGATTTATGAAAATGAAGATTTGTTCATGCTGTTTCAAGCGTTATAAGGCTCAGCCACAGTTGGAAAAATCGCATCATTTCACTGCTCTCCTCCAAATAATTTCTGCTAAAGCAAGTGCCGGAGCTGGCTGTGAAACACGCCAAGAGAGAAAGAATCTCACGTTGAACTGAATCCTGGTGCTGCCTCTGAAGAGGATTAGAAAAAGGGAAGGATAGTAGTGTACAAGCTGGAGCTTTCAAGCAAAAGCCAGTGTTGCTTTAACGCTGAGTTAATCATGTAGTTTACTGCCAAATATCATTTAAAACCTGAACGTGCTATTTTTGACCCCAGAATTTTTAATGGATTTATTCTCTCGTGCTTCAAATAGCAGTGTTAATGGGGATTATAGGAAGTAC